TTACAAAGCCTGTATCTCCTCTCGTTCTTAAGATATGCTGTTCTCTATTTTTAGTAACTAGAAATGTTCTAGACCCTCTGCTTACAAATAGAGTAGCCTACTCTGTAAGATGCTAACGTATACAATTACGCATACACCTACGTAATCTTGCTTGCATATGCAGCAATACTAAGCATAGATAAAGTAGACCTACCTAGAGGAGTCTAGAACGTTCTGCTTAGAAATACAGACAGAGGAGAGGAAGCATAAATACCTCTGGCTCTCCCCCTCTGTTCGCTCTGTACCTAGCCTAGGAATCTCTACCTAGTATCTAATATAATAACTTGTCTATTATATTACATAACCCTACCTTACCTCTATTAGGCTATACGCTTCCTATTTAGACAAAACTAGTCTAGATTTGTCTAGGTCCTTCTAGACTAGGAAGAAAGTAGTCTAGTCCTTCCCCTACTTTCTTTACAACTATAACTTACAGTATATAGCACTAATCTATAGTATCTTGCGCATCTTTTATACACGTTCACGCGTTATGCCTTGCCTTACTACACCTGCTATAGTGTTATAAAGACTAAGTGCCTAGTTTAATATGCCTCTTCTTGCTTGCCTTCTTCCTATTACTACAGGCTTTAAACTCCTTTAGGGTAGTTAAGCGCACTCCTTTACTAACAGTAAGAGTCCCCTCCCTCTAGATCTACTTCCTCTTGTGTAATTTACAGCGTGTAGCGGCCTTATTAGCAGCTTAAAGCTCTGCAACCTAGTTGCACACTAAAACTAGTAAATACGCTATTATCTCTGCGCCCTTAGTAAGCTAATTAAGAGCATTGACTATTAAAGTTAGAGAGCTATTACTATTGTAACGACTATGCACGAACACGACACGTGGCATAGCGCTCATAGCAGCTAGAGGCAAAGCTAGCTGGCTAGCACTATTATTGTCTATATTTATTATACTACGCAACGAATACTTGCTTAAGTATTCTTGTGCTTACCTTTTGGTATAGGCAGAGAAGTCACGTAGTATTGATTTCGAGGGCAGGGCGCCTACTCTGTTACAACTATGTTGTTAAATCCTCTCTTAAATAAGCTTTAATTACAACCTAAATTCTAGGGTGTTCTGTAGGATTTTAGAGTGCTACATACTCTTATCTATAGTAGGTAGTAATAGAGTACATAGGCGCACTTTAAGCTTTAATATTACAGCCTCTAGATTAAAGGGAACTAAGCTAGCACCTCCAAATCCTCCCTAGATATTGCTCCTAGTAATAGAGGCATTAAAAGCTCCTTTAAAGCACAGTAAAAACTTAACTTTTGTAATGTAAGTAATCTTGTTGTGCATTAGTAGCTTAGTTAAGTAACTATAGGCTGTCTTTATTAGGGCAAAACAACCTACATTAAGCAACTATAAAAGGTGCAATAAGTGTAGAGCTATACACAAGGTAACAATCTTGTGTTCTTTACAGTACTAGTAGAACTTAACTAAATTATAGCTCTTATAGCTGTCTAGAATAAGCAGCTAATAGCTACTAATAGTGCGCTCCTTTGTGTGCTTATTAAAGTGCTTTAGCTACTTAATACTAAGCTTATTATTAGTCTAGCTATTCTTAGAGATAGTAATAACCTAGTTGTAGGCTGGCGGATGGGTAGGGTATGCTTTTTTACGTTTTGGCTTATAGCTTCTTAACTAGCAGAGATATGCTTACATAATCTATTATTTAATAGAAGCGCCTAGTATTGCGCCTTCTAATAAAAAAAGAATTAGCTAATTCTGCCTAGTATTAGCTAAGTTATTAACACTACCTAGCAAAGTATACCTATTAATAGGTATGCTTGCTAGGTACCCCCCCTTTTTTAACATTTTCTAGCCTCTAGCTTGTGCAGTTTAATAGTTATAACAAAACCTTCTACTACAAAAATGTAGAGGTGGTTTTTCTCTTTCTTTTTAGCCCTATTTTGCTAGAATCCATGTATTATTGATAAGGTTTTGGGGGGTACCCACGAAGGACGTTGGAGTATACCCATTCCGCCAGCCTACCTAGTTGTAAGGTAAAGACAGCTCCTTATACTAGGTAGAGAGGTAGTGCTTGCCTTAGAAGATAATAAAGGGTAGGATACTCTATCCTAACATGTTAATACCCTAGATAATGCTAATCTACTCTTAGTTGCCCTGCTATACTATCTTTAGTCTTCTACAACACTCTAAGCCTGTAACAACAGCTCCTATTAATATAACACCTATTATAAACCTAGACTTATTAAAATTGTAGGTGTCTTTATCTAGGATACTATACTTAGCTTTAGTATTCTCTACTAGGTAGAACTTGCCCTAGATCACCTTAGGATCCTTGCAGAGGGCTCTCTTGTAGTTATATTTTTAATTAAACTTAACTATAAGCTCTAGGCGACGCTTAACAACCATGCTAGCCTAGTTCTTGCTAACAGGAGGCTAGTGGTGCTTAGTAAGTAAAGAGTTGGCTATATCCTCTACATTAGTAAGCTAGGGTGGGTATCCTTGCTTGTCTAGCTTTAGAATATGCTGCACAATTACCTCCTCTTTAGTGCTTGTTAGCTTTATTAAGTTAACCTTATAATTACATCTTAAGAGTGTTCTAGCATATTATTATCTTAGCATTCTTTCTAACACCTTATAGATTATTATAGTATGTAGAATAGTAAGAGTTACGTCTTATTTAAGAGCCTAAATAGCAAGCTATATATCTAGTTTATTTAAGACACTTTAAGCCTTTTTGCGTGAAGACATTACAGGTTGTATGAAGTTTGGTGTGGTCTTGGCAAAATCCGGTCACTCACCCGGGCCGGCCACTCGCCCGTGAGGTACGTTATAGTTTTTCCACCTTATTCAACTTACAGCTTACAGCTATTAGATATATTGCTCTTTGCGCCACTTTTAAGGTACTACACTAACAAGCGTACCTACTTCCTCTAGCAATTGCATGGCATCACAAGGATCGCAAAGCGCGACTTCATTAGCAACTTCTGGCCAGCATGGAGCTCTACAATGACGCCAGAGCTTATTGTGAAGAGTTTTCAAGCTACAGGCGTGTGGCCAATAGACACAGAAGCGGTGCTAAAACGCTTTAACAACCACCCACAATAACAAGATGAAGACGTAGAAATTGGAGACCATAGCGACAGCGATACCTGGCCCTAGCTGCGCAAAACTCTTGACGCTGCAGTTGCTGACAAGGCTAGAATTGAAGCCAAGCGGCTGTTGCAAGGTGTACACTTGCTACAGGTCAAGAACAAGCTTCTTCGTGCTCAAAACAAGGAGCTACAACGCGAGCTTAGCCTCACCAAGAAGCGGCTTACACAGCGTACAACACTAGCTACATAAGACGGCGATGAGTAGCACGGCGGTGCTGTGTTCTGGAGTCCCAGGAAGCTTGCCACGGCGCGCGCGCAAAGCTGCAGAACTTGACGAAGCTGAGCAGCTACGACTCCAAAAAAGTCACGATAGAGAGAAGAAAGCGATAGATACAGTATACAAAAAGCAGCAACAAGAGAAGGAAAAGGTGGCTTAACAACGTGCTGCTGAGGAGCGTCACAAGGCAAAGAAAGCGCAAGCTAAAGCGCTGGCTGCTAGGCGCTCAAAAAGCAACAACGCAACGCTGCAACCGCAAAAAATGTCCTGGTACAGCAAATAGCTATAAGTGAAAACCCTCAGACAAAGCTGCAAAAAATCCAACAAATTGTTGTTGTGTTGTGGCTGCGCAAAGTAGTGTTGATGCTGGACCTCCAGCTGCGTCTCCCCCACCCAAAATCACTAGGCGCGGCCGCAACAGCAGGTTACTAGCAAAATATAAGTAGCAGAAAAGACGCGCAAACCTCTACATAGCAATACACCAAAAACTCTCGCGATAATAGCTTTTAAGTGTGGCTCTATAGCCTCATTTTTCTATTGTCAACATCTCGATGGGGTGGCTCGACCCGCGAACTGGCTCGTTTCGCGCACGGGCACGGTATCTCGGTGTACTTTACACTGCGACTAGGTACCGGTACCAGCTTGTGTTCGCCAAATGTCAACACGCAGATACCTCATCTAAGAGCCGGCTACACGTATTGGAATGTTTGTGAAATCGCTTCGCGCCGCTGTTGAGCGAGAACAACCACATAAGTCAGCTTGTACGAGAACGCCGTGCAATGCAAACTTGAGCACGAAGATGACGTCTGCAATCCATACCCAGTGTCAGCCGATTCTTCGAAGCACATGCAGTATGCATCTCGATGGATCCAGAACTGAGGTAATGATGCACAGCGTCTCTTAGCTCCAAGGGACCTCAGGTGGTTCTACAAGTATGCACTAAGCGCATGGCTCGAAGATTTTGAACACGTCAGTGCTTCAAACATAAATGCGAGCCACCAGAGACAAACCATTGGACCGCTTTCCGCGCCATGCGACAGACTCACAGCGTTTTCTGACACCTGACGGGTGGATCGACGTGAGACTTGTATACCTTTGTCTGCACCTCAACTCTCCCACCAGTGAACTGAACAAGGAATTATTGCCATAGAAACGGATGTTCATTATTTCACTAGAGGGTAGGAAATCATTGAGTTAATATTCCTACTCTCACCCTGCTAGCTGGTTTCATAGATCCAACGACCTGGTGAGTGGCCGAGATCGCCGGTGAGCACGCCCCAATACACATTCTTTGCGTTTCATCTTATCTTTCTACTGGTCCACGCAACATGGGATCAGAATCCCTACTTCGCTTCTTTTGATCCAGAACGGTGTAGGAAGTACATCGCAATGATGCAGCGAAGAGCAATGGTTCAATGACTGTCAAAACGCCGTAGTGACCGTTCTCGTGCAAGGTAACTGTGATGCTGCAGATGAAACCCCCTGAGAGTGCCTGACACTGTATTCCGCGAGTCCCGTAGTGGTACAGCGTCTTATAATGCCGTCTAGCGTGGTCATTGTGCTGTAAGGCTCAAGTGAAGTTTTTTTTTTGCCTTTCTTGTATAGTGTTTCTCATGCTCGTTCACTCCTGTTCTTGACGCACCCACTTGATGAGCGCATATGCGCCACTAGCAAGTACAGAACCCAAAAGCGGACCAATCCAGTAAATCCAGTGGTAGCTGGTAAAGCCCACACAAACGGCCGGGCCAAAACTGCGCGCAGGGTTCAGACTGCCACCGGTGAAGAAGACACTGCATATCTCAGCGATGAAGAGCGAAAAGCCGATATACATCGGCTTGGCTGATCCACCTTTGAGCATGAGGATGGTGAGTACGAGCTGGGCAGTGACGAAGGCCTCCAGGAACAAGCCGCGCGTGGTCGAAATGGACGGATCGAGTGTGGTGGCAATAATGAGAGGGCCTGGTAGTAGACCGCTCACGAACCCAGCAGCGGCCATACCAGCAAGTATCTGGGAGACGATAGTCTGAATCGCGCGGTGCCAAGTGATTTTGCCAGTTAGTAAGAGAGCTGTTGTTACCTGAAATGCCAAATTAGCACTAGACTCACAACGCAGCAACTACCAATTCATGCCTGCAGCTGAGGGCACTGTAGCATCGAGCGGGGCAAGTGGGTGCACATACCGCAGGATTGAATTTTCCACCGCTGATGTCTGCAAAGATCGCAACATTGATGGCGAGAGATACACCGAATGCGAATGCAATGTAAATGAGCTTCGAGACATCAGGCGCTGGGCTGTTGGAGCTGGTCAATTGTGTACTTCCAGCAGCGTTGAGAGCAATCTGTGTTCCTGTGAAGGCGAGGAACAAGAACATGAATGTTCCAATGAACTCTCCCAGGAAAGCTGCAGCCTCTCGACGGAATTCCCTATTCTTCAGTGTCGCTTCTGATGGGGATGCTGATGAGGGCTCATGAACAGGCAGGGTTGCATCTCTGCTGTTGTTGTTTTCGGTCTCTTTTCCTGTCATGAAAGACATGAGGCTGTGCTTGCTTCGAACGGTCATGTGGATGTATGCAAGTACAGAGAGCTGACAAAAACCGAGTGGTGCAACTGATGAAGATGCCTGGTGTCCAAACATCAGCTCGGGTAAGGAACAGCATTATATGCATTCGCGAAAATGTAAGGAGACTGAACAGTTGCGACTCTTCAGTGCCTGTGCAACTCGACAAGAGGACCGCCGTACAGGCTTGAGCAGATCGTGCTCTGCCTGGGGTCGTGGACGCTGTTTGCCGGGGTCTGCGCGTACGGCGCGGGCCCATCTGCTGACCTGTCTTTTACCAATAGGGAGGACGTTCCCACCGCAAGGCTTCGCAATTTCGTTATAGAACGCAGTAAGTGGAATGTGAAGCAGTTGGCGGACGGTGTTACAGAATGTCATTCAGTCGACTGTGCATATCGACCACTCTCTGGGATCGAACTCTTCTTTGCTCATCTTCGCAATCTTGGTCCGTGACGTGCCTTTCTCGTGCATATCTCGTGCTGCAACGTGAAGTGGTCTCTTGATCTCGACTGCATGATCGCAGATCGTGTACGAGGAACTCTTCCATGTTCACATTCTCCGATGTTGAAAATTGAGGCCAGAAACGCGTAAGCTTGTCTCATGCACTGAGCTTCGAGGATGTTCGAGGTTGCTTCCAGAGTGCCGTTCATGGCCGTTATTTTGACAGGTTGCTAAGAAACATCAGTTGCAACAAGCACCCAGCTTCCACGTTTTAAGCCTCACAAACGCCACATTCAGCCTACCATCGAAAACTTCTGTTGCGATCGCTGTCGAGCGATAAGTGCCGCGATGGCGGATAGCACGACCTTGGGTCAAAGTAACACAGAAACTGCGTGTGACCGCGCCCTCAGAGCGAACCATTTTTTATGTACTAGGAGGGAGAAAGCTAGGCGGAATGCCCCGCTACCGGTAGGCCCACATCCCGCAAGACGCGCGACAAGGTCGCGATTCCATCAGAGACAGTACCAGGAATCTTCGATATGACATGATGACGCCAGAGGGAACTCGGTATCAGACTGCGGGATAATGTGGGAAGCCAAGTCACGCGAACTCTTCCATTTCTTTTCTCGCAGCCGTCCAGCAGATTTCTCCGCCTGAAAGTGACTGATAGGAGCTATTAGTTCGCATACCGATCTTGTCCGGAATGTATCGACTCGACCCATCAAGCGCAGTACCTATAGCGAGCAATGCCGCCTGAATATTTAATGAACCCGCTCTGCATCGTGAGATACTTTGCAAGCATTGAGTGCGCATTGTCTGTAGTATTTCGAGTCGGGGTCGCACGAATACTGTTGCGTGATGAAAACTGCGGTCACTGTCCGCCCTTGTAGGTACGTAGACAGTGTATCCGCCAGTAAGCTAGTGGGAAGGTCTGTAAAGATTCAGCAAGGAGCGCGAAAGCGAGTCCGACCCCGAGGCCGATGTCGCCCGCTTCGTACATTCGGCAGCGCTCTCAGGCCATATTGGTCAACGTAGGTACGTCGCAGGCGCAAGCGATCTTGACAGCGTTGTTTACAGCCACTCATGTATACCTACTGTGTCCGTGCACCCAATGCCAATGCACGGGGATCGCGATTAACACCCCATTTTCAACGCGTAACAACTCATCCGCTTTAGCACCTGTTGATGGTGCGCTTGCAGTAATTAAAGCGCTGAAATTAAGAGAAAAACTTGTGTATTAGGAAACAGCTACCGGTATGGCCGAAAACCAGATGGTTTACGAAGGAGCTCGTTTTTAGTCATGCACCGCACTGACCACCCCAACTAAAATGTGATCGCGCATCCCAATTTGGTGAGCTGCCTCACAAAATCAATGCATAACAACACAACCACATAACTAATTAAGCTAAAATTAATAAGGGTATTTAACGTACCTCACGGGCGAGTGGCCGGCCCGGGCGAGTGACCGGATTTTGCCAAGACCACACCAAACTTCATACAACCTGTAATGTCTCAACACAAAAAGGCTTAAAGTGTCTTAAAGGAACTAGATATATAGCTTGCTATTTAGGCTCTTAAATAAGACACAACTCTTACTATTCTACGCACTGCAATAATCTATAAGGTGTTAGAAAGAACACTAAGATAATAATATGCTAGAATGCTCTTATAACGTAATTGTAAGGTTAACTTAATAAAGCTAACAAGCACTAAAGAGGAGGTGATTGTGTAGCATGTTCTGAAGCTAGACGAGCAAGGATACCCACCCTAGCTTACTAATGTGTAGGATATAGCTAACTCTCTACTTACTAAGCACTACTAGCCTCCTATTAGCAAGAACTAGGCTAGCACGTTCGTTAAGCGTTGCCTAGAGCTTACAGTTGTAACGACGCAGGCAAGAAGAGAGATATCCGGAATAGGTGTGAATCCGCTACGAGGCATATGGGAGTGCTAGGATGATAAGAACACCAGGATATATTCTCTACACCTATAGGTCTTGTACAAAAGGATACAGAAAAACTACTCTATAATGCTACAGTTCCTTGCTCCTTATATATGAGGGTTTGGTGGCAGTTTGGTGTGAGCTCATGCTATGCGACAAGGGCCATGGTCATGAGTCGCTAGAACCGTATCCTAGTGGTATTGGGTCACTGTTCGTAGAGCGTTGTTACAACAGTTAAGTTTAATTAAAAGTACAACTACAAGAGAGCCCTCTGCAAGGATCCTGAGGCGATCTAGGGCTAGTTCTGCCTAGTAGAGAATACTAAAGCTAAGTATAGTATCCTAGACAAAGACACTAATAATTTTAACAAGTCTAGGTTTATAATAAGTGTTATATTAACAGGAGCTGTTGTTACAGGCTCAGAGCGTCGTAGAAGACTAAATACAGTACAGCAGGGCGACCAAGAGTAGACCAGCATCATCCAGGGTATCAACCCTAACCAGGTCGCAGAGCTTCAAGCTGCCAATGAGGCCGCCACACGCCGTAAATCACACAAGAGGAAGCGGATCCAGAGGGAGGGGACTCTCACTGCTAGTGAAGGAGTGCGCTTGACTACCCTAAAGGAATTTAAAGCCTGTAGTGATAGGAAGAAGGCAAGCAAGAAGAGGTGCGTTAAACTAGGCACTTAGTCTTTACAACACTGTAGCAGGTGTAGTAAGGCAGGGTATAACGCGCGAACGTGCATAAAAGATGCACAAGATACTGTAGATTAGTGCTGTATACTGTAAGTTACAGTAACTTGCAGTAACTTGCTATAATATGCAAGAGAAGTTGAAGTTTGGTGTGGTCTTGGCAAAATCCGGTCACTCGCCCGGGCCGGCCACTCGCCCGTGAGGTACGTTA